ATTGATAATTTGTTTACACACACCTCCATATTCATGTATATGTTTTGAAATATACTCCTTCCAAATAAATGTTGAAAGGATGGAATTTAAATACATGTAAATAGACACTCTCATTTTCCCCATACCCAGTGGATGGCCTTGCACCGTCATGGTAAGCACCAAGCCCTCTTTGGAGACCACTGTTCTGGATCATTCTTTTTCTAGATTCCATGCACATCATTGTACTGGAATTCCTGCTTGCATCCTTGCTGCATACCATGCTTTGTACTTGGTACAACTGTGCTTCAGCTCCTGTATAATGAGGTCCTCAAGAGCATAGGTGTTAATGTCAATCATGCAGGCTCAAGTCCCAGCTCCCCCACCTGCAACCTGTGTGACCTTGATCAAGTTGCTCAACCCTCTGAGCCTCAGTGTTTGCACGGGCAGTATGAGATAGTGTCTACCCATAGGGTTGCTCCTGAGGATTATATGCCCATTGGACTGTTAGTAATAATATGACATTAGATGGCATTCTTTTGAGTTTAATGCTAGGCCCTTCAATAGAGTTTAGTCTTCTTACCTGTGCTTGGCACCTACTTCCTGACTCTTTCTTAGGCTGGTTACCCCCAGTTGAAGGTCCCTCTCATCTTTTGTATGTCAATTCCCTTTCATTCCTATATGAGTTTCCCAGGGCTGCAGTAACAAAGTACCACAAACCAGGTGGCTTAAAACAAAAGGAACTTATTGTCTCACAGTTCTGGAGGCTAGAAGCCTGAAATCCAGGTGTAAGAAAAACAATCCTGTGAGAGGGGAATTGTAGTGGTTTGAATATTGTTCTCCCTGCCCCAGATCATGTCCTGCTCTTTCTGAAAGCTCAAGAGGCCGATCTTTCCCTGCCTCTCCCAGCTTCTGCTGCCCCCTGGAACTCTTTGGTTTATGGCAGCATCACTCCAACCCCTGCCTCCATCCTCACAGGGCCTTTTCTGTGTATCTCTCTGCCTCTTCTTCTCTTCTTATAAGGACACCAGCCATTGGATTCAGGGCCTATCCTAAATCTAGGAAGACTTCATCCAAAGATCCTCAACTAATTACAGCTGCAAAGACCCTATTTCTAAATAAGGTCACAACTCGAGAGATCCTAGAGACATGATCTGAGGCGGGGAGAACAATATTCAAACCACTACAATTCCCCTCTCACAGGATTGTTTTTCTTACAAGTTTGGGGAGGCTCCAGCCTTTTCCTGACGGTGTTTGTGTCAGAGTTCAGGGCCTTGAGAATGTGGGGCCAGGAGAGCACAGACGAAAACCAATGGTCTTGTCTAACCCACATCCCTGAGCCCTTCGCGTCACTATTCTTCACAAGGAAGAAAAATCACTGATTTGAGTTTCTTGTTGCTAGTTTGTGTACAACACTGCGGCCCTTGTACTGCTTCCCACTGGGGCTTCTGGCATTTTTTGAAGGAAAAAAGAAAAGGAAAGAAATAGTGCTGTTTGGTTATCATTCCGCAGTGTGTGTGTTTGCAAGATGCCTCCCTCATTAGATGACTCCAATTTAAAATACAGATTTGCTCTGACAAAACTGACCCAGGCTGGCTTTTCTCTGTAATGGTTTCAATTTCAGGCTTATCCATCACAAATGATTGTAGTCTAACAGGATTCTGACAGAAAAGGGGTAGGAGTTTTGAATTCTTACCTGCAATTTCCAGCTCCAGGGGATAATAGCAGAGAGTAAAACAACAATAACTGAGTTGTAGAATATAAAACATGCCGACTTCTCCCTCAGAGTTCTGTGCTTCTAGATGTTCAGCAAGTCACTCTCCCTGTCCATAAGCTCTCCTGTAGCAAATTATGAGCCTTATGAAACCGATCACATTTCTCCTTTTGCCTTGCGTGCGAGGAAGCTTGGGGGAAGTGATGCTCAGTTTGAGTAATTATTAGCCTAGGCATTTATTCCATTTAGGTCTGTCTTGTGTGGCATTACATTCTGTTCCTATCAGAAGATTATACTGCACGATGATTTTGCATCTTTTCTGGACATTTTCTCCTGCCCTGCCTTCTATGACACTGCTTTTTTGCCTATTTCTTCTGCCTCCTCCTTCACTTCCTCTGCCCACCTGTTAAAGCACTGGGTTTCCCAGGACACCTCTTCTTCTCTCTCTGGACATGCAGCCCTTGGATTTCTTATGCACTCTGAGGATTTCAATGGCTCCCCAGATACTGATGACTCTCAGATCAGTATCTCCTGCTCAACCTTGATTCAGATTCAAATCCACTTATTGAGCACCAAGTGTGTGTCAGGAAGTGTTGGGGTTCCCTTGTTGAGCAGGCAGAGGGGGACCCTGTCCAAATGGAGCTTAATTCTAATAGCTCTCACTGAACTACGATGTTGGCCTTTGTGCCTCTCCCTCTGCCCACCCCCTCCAGCCACCTGTCCATACTCCATCATTCTTACTCTTGGACTGTTAGCTTAAATAACCTTCTCTAATGGACTGTAAGTTTTGTGAGAGTAGGGCCATGCCATACTCATCTCAGCGTTCTTAGTGCCTGGAACAGTTCTTAGTGCTTAGCACTTAGTAGGATTCTCAGTATTTTTTCCTTGTTGAACTCAAAGATCAGTTATACATAAATGACTCCACATCTCAGCTAAAACTTCACATTCTCAAGGACACGTTTCTCGACCCTCCAAACAGGTCAGCCATCCTCATGGTATGGACCTATGATATCTTATACTAATTCTTCCCAGAATTTTGCATAATTATAACTGTTTTTCAATTGTTCACATTATTTGTTTAAATTTGGTCTTCTGCACTAAGTTGTAAATTCATTGACAAGGTCAATGGTACAGCTACCATAAGTATTTGGCCTATAATAAATAGTCAATAAATATATGTTAACTGATAGAGTGACAAATTTTCTTCTGGATAAAAATCTTCCCATTGTCGGGGCCTACAGAAAACTTACTAGTAGACCTGATAGCCTGCTGGTCTAATGTCTCACTCTACCTATCTATAAAATGGGGATGTTCCTGTGGGGTAATGTTGGGTAGCAGATGAGCTTTAGATAAAACCATATCAAATGTTCATAAATAAATTGTATCAAAAAAGATGATATTAAAAGATTAAACACATCAACTGAAATTCCAGCTTAGCTTTAAAATGCCTATTTCAAAATGTGATATTTCGTTCTCCCACAGAAAAAATAGACAGTTCCTCTCCTTTTTCCTTCCCAGCTCCTGAGACAACAAGTCTTGTGGAAAATGAAGTTGAACCAGAACAGGTAAGCATTTTTGTGAAATATTTGAAGTATGTGACTTAGATTTTTAAAATCTACATCAGGGGTTTGCAGGAATGGATTAGGGAGAGAAACTACACCAAAGCTGCAAAATGCATCATGAATATTCTGAAATAGCTAAGGAATTTGTAGACTTGTACTCTCAGCAGAAATAACATAAATATTATGACTTCTATATGCACAGATGCTTTGAAAAGCCAAAAATAAAAAATAAAAATACATGGGAAATCATTGTGTGTCCCTTCCAATTGGCCCGGGATTAGTGACACCCTGCCGAATTGTCACCTGCCACCATTTTTCCCAAGTGAAAAAATGTAAGTGAGGAAAGTGGCAATGCTTTACATTCACAAATCTCAGTATGTGGCTCAACAGAAGACAGAGAGATTCTCATATCTGCTTAGATTCGCATTTCTCCATACCATCAGACCCCTGGCAGCCTCTGGGAATCTCCACTGTACAGCTCAGGAGAGAAGGATAGTCAAAATGGCCAGTAATGTCCTCCGCACCTTAGTATTTTACTTCAGCACTGCGCCTCCTCTGATTCTCGGTTCCTCCTAGTTGTAGAATCTCTCCTCAGCCAGCCTTCCTGTGGTTCTGGGTGATGTCCGTTCCGTCTTTTAGTTGTATTTTTTAAGTGGTTGTTCGAGGCAGCAAACTCCGGCGTTAACCTATGCCGCCATCTTGGTTTCCTCCCAATAGTTTTTCGCCCTTGGATTTTTTATGCACTCTGAGGATTTCAATGGCTCCCCAGATACTGATGACTCTCAGATCAGTATCTCCTGCTCAACCTTGATTCAGATTCAAATCCACTTATTGAGCACCAAGTGTGTGTCAGGAAGTGTTGGGGTTCCCTTGTTGAGCAGGCAGAGGGGGACCCTGTCCAAATGGAGCTTAATTCTAATAGCTCTCACTGAACTACGATGTTGGCCTTTGTGCCTCTCCCTCTGCCCACCCCCTCCAGCCACCTGTCCATACTCCATCATTCTTACTCTTGGACTGTTAGTTTAAATAACCTTCTCTAATGTCCTGTAAGTTTTGTGAGAGTAGGGCCATGCCATACTCATCTCAGCGTTCTTAGTGCCTGGAACAGTTCTTAGTGCTTAGCACTTAGTAGGATTCTCAGTATATTTTCCTTGTTGAACTCAAAGATCAGTTATACATAAATGACTCCACATCTCAGCTAAAACTTCACATTCTCAAGGACACGTTTCTCGACCCTCCAAACAGGTCAGCCATCCTCATGGTATGGACCTATGATATCTTATACTAATTCTTCCCAGAATTTTGCATAATTATAACTGTTTTTCAATTGTTCACATTATTTGTTTAAATTTGGTCTTCTGCACTAAGTTGTAAATTCATTGACAAGGTCAATGGTACAGCGACCATAAGTATTTGGCCTATAATAAATAGTCAATAAATATATGTTAACTGATAGAGTGACAAATTTTCTTCTGGATAAAAATCTTCCCATTGTCGGGGCCTACAGAAAACTTACTAGTAGACCTGATAGCCTGCTGGTCTAATGTCTCACTCTACCTATCTATAAAATGGGGATGTTCCTGTGGGGTAATGTTGGGTAGCAGATGAGCTTTAGATAAAACCATATCAAATGTTCATAAATAAATTGTATCAAAAAAGATGATATTAAAAGATTAAACACATCAACTGAAATTCCAGCTTAGCTTTAAAATGCCTATTTCAAAATGTGATATTTCGTTCTCCCTCAGGAAAAATAGACAGTTCCTCTCCTTTTTCCTTCCCAGCCCCTGAGACAACAAGTCTTGTGGAAAATGAAGTTGAACCAGAACAGGTAAGCATTTTTGTGAAATATTTGAAGTATGTGACTTAGATTTTTAAAATCTACATCAGGGGTTTGCAGGAATGGATTAGGGAGAGAAACTACACCAAAGCTGCAAAATGCATCACGAATATTCTGAAATAGCTAAGGAATTTGTAGACTTGTACTCTCAGCAGAAATAACATAAATATTATGACTTCTATATGCACAGATGCTTTGAAAAGCCAAAAATAAAAAATAAAAATACATGGGAAATCATTGTGTGTCCCTTCCAATTGGCCCGGGATTAGTGACACCCTGCCGAATTGTCACCTGCCACCATTTTTCCCAAGTGAAAAAATGTAAGTGAGGAAAGTGGCAATGCTTTACATTCACAAATCTCAGTATGTGGCTCAACAGAAGACAGAGAGATTCTCATATCTGCTTAGATTCGCATTTCTCCATACCATCAGACCCCTGGCAGCCTCTGGGAATCTCCACTGTACAGCTCAGGAGAGAAGGATAGTCAAAATGGCCAGTAATGTCTCATGAACATCATTTTCATCTCATGGATTCCCTGGCTACACTTTGAAAACCACTGCGGTAGGAAATGTGGCATTGTGTTCCATTTTCCTCTTTGATCTTGTTGCCTCTAGAAGTCTGAGTCAGCCATGAGAAGGGCTGTGCAGGGCTAGGGAGAGCTCGAAGGACTCAGGCAGTGCCCAGCCTAGTGATTTGACAGTGAACACAGCACACAGCACCATTATTTTTTTTTTACCTTCAGACCCCTAAGCCCCACAGCCTGTATCTGGTCAATGTTTTGGGTTTTCAGAAAGTAAAGAAAAAATTTTAAAATGTTTTTATTGATTTCAGAGAGAGGAAGGGAAAGGGAGAGATAGAAATATATATTGGCTGCCTCCTGGATGTCCCCTACTGGGGATCAAACCCACAACCACATCCCAGACATGTTCCTTGACCATGTATCAAACTGGTGACCTCCTGATGCATGGGTCAATGTCCAACCACTGAGCATACCAGCCGGGCTAAAAAATAGTTTTCTTTTATTTGTAAGGTTGGCTTTGTTTTGATCATGAGACACATGGGGCAAAAGGTGGTGAGATGCAGTGAAGCTCTGGCCATTGGAGGGTGTGGTTGGGACGGGAAACTCATGTGAGTGCGAACCTTCAGAAACAAGTGGCCCAATCATCTTCCCTGTGTCTCACCAGTTGAACGAGGTGGACAGCTCCTTCCTTGCGAAGATCATTGCTCCCTCCCTGGGATTTGTGCTGGTTGCATTGATTGTAGCGCTTCTACTTCGAGGTAAGGATGGATGAAGCCCTTTAGAGCTATGGAGACTCCAGGGGGACCTGGGAGCAAATCGATGCTGCTTCCTGCTCCTTTTCTCCATTTCCCAGAGTTCCTTTCTGACATTGTCTCCATCCTGGTCAAGGAGGTGACAGGTAAAACCATTCTCCCAAGGATGCTAAAGCTTTGTGTATCATCTTCCTGATAGAGTTCTGTTTTGGGGGAAAAAAGAGAGCACCTTCACTTATTGGACACTTACTCTGTGTCAGTCCTGACTTGACTCTTTTTCTTTGTTTTGTTTTTGTTTTTGTTTTTGTTAATCCTCACCTGAGGATATTTTTCCATTGATTTTTAGGGAGAGTGGAAGAGAGAGGGAAAGACAGAGAGAAACATCGATGTGAGAGCAACACATCAATTGGTTGCCTCTGCACAAGCCCAACCAGGGCCCGGGCCTGGGAGGAGTCTGCAGCCCTAGACTCTTGACAGACTCTTGACGTGCCTAACGCATCCCGCGCTCATGAGTGCCTTAAGTGGAAACTGCTCTTATTATCAGTGTCTTGGGTGGAGGAAGCCCTAGCCTAGCCTCCCCCTCTGGCTAGGATTGTCCCAGGAAGAAAGCCACGAATTATCCCTGGTCTTCTTATTTGTTCATTTTAAGCAAGCTTTCTTAACCCGGGGTCCACAGATAGAACTTAGGGGCGAGTGAGTCCCTTGAAATCATGTACAAAAGTGCTTGGACATTCTTATTTGCATTTTTCAAGGGGCAGCATCCATAGCTGTTATTTAAATTCTCCATCTGGTCCATGACCTTGCCCCCACCTCCCACTTCAAAAAGAAGTTTTAAGACACTACAGAAAGGAGTCATGAAACGGGGTTTATAGTTTTCATCCAAAGGATAGGCATGTGGCCCCTTGTCCTGCTATAAAATGGGGGCGGGGGGTGGAAGGAATTGTTCTCTAGTCATTAACAGGAACTGTTTCAAGGTAGCAAGTGAGGAGATAAGACTAGTATTCATCTCAGCCTGTTTGAGCAACACAAGGGAAACATGTGTATTTTGAAACCTGCCCCTTAGTGAACACTGGCAAAGGAAATTTACAAAGGCATGTGGCGGTTTTGGATATCCTGGGTAAGTCTCATAAGGAAGAGTTGTAGGTTTTGTGTGTGTAAGTAAACGCCTTTTTAAAACCCAAATGAGTACTTGATTGCGGGTGGGCAAATGACTCAGGTATGAAGCAGCTTTAACACCATTGCCCACAACTTTGTAGTTGATAGGCACTGCCTAGGGGCCTAAAGAAGCAGTCATTTGACCCAGGAAAAGAATTGGCTTTCCAGTCCTCAAATTGTCACCTTTAGACTACATCTGCTTCTCCTAAGAAAGTAGTGGGCTTCCCCCAGCATTTCAAAGGTCCTAGCACAGCACTCTGCTTATACTGTGGCCTTGTCTTTCCAGGGAAAGTCATGAAAACCAATTGCTTCCAGAAACACACAAGGTAATTCATCTTGCATGACTGATCATTGTAATGATAGAACAAGGTGTTACAAATGATTAGATCCTACTCAGTGGTTTAATGACTTGTGCTTGTGTTCTGATTAAATACAGAGTTGGAGAGATGTGACATTAGAGGTGAAAAGGAGGTGGGAATTTAGCTCACATTTACCTCTGCCTTGGTTAACACTGTTACATTGTCCAACATGCACTGCAAAGGCAGGTTGCATTAATAGAAGTATGCCATGCAAAAGAAAGAAGGTGATATATCACTCTACTCTGTGCTAGAAGTTCTTTGTTCAACTCTGGCAACTCACTTTTAAAAAAGGACATTGTTAAACTGGAGTTCATGGAGAGGAGAGTGGCAGCATGAAAAATGAAAAAAACACATCGAATATCATTCCCGGGATATGGCTTCTTCTGCCCAATTACACCATGGGACCCATGGGAGCAAGTTTGTGTGTGTGTGTGTGTGTGTGTGTTTAATAGTTTGAAGAATCTCTAAAAAGGTATTTTGGATATTTATCCTGTTCTATAACTTTCTGGAAAAGGAATTAAAAGATTTGGTGTTAACTGTGATGAAAACCTTGTCTTCACTTAATAATTGCCTTAATACCACAATATCTGTTAACAAATAAATACTAAGAAGTAGGGAAACTGAGGCTTAGCAAGGTGACTTTCTAAGGTCACAGTTGTAGATTTTGTGTGTGTAAGTAAATGCCTTTAGGTTGTGATTTATATTTTCTAATATAGAAACTTCTAACTTCCCTTTTAAAATAGGTCGACAAAAACCCTTTATCCCATAGGGCAGTGATGGCGAACCTATGACACGCGTGTCAGAGGTGACACGCGAACTCATTTTTTTGGTTGATTTTTCTTTGTTAAATGGCATTTAAATATATAAAATAAGTATCAAAAATATAAGTCTTTGTTTTACTATGGTTGCAAATATCAAAACATTTCTATATGTGACACGGCACCAGAGTTAAGTTAGGGTTTTTCAAAATGCTGACACGCCGAGCTCAAAAGGTTCGCCGTCACTGCCATAGGGCCTCAGTTTGGCCATCTGTGACATGAAAGAGTTGGACTGGATGGGCTCTGAGCCCTTTTAACTCTGAGAGCCTTGGCTAGTTGTGTGTAATTTATCCATTTATTCCTGGTCGTGGTGGTTCGCATTAACAGCCTCTTTCCTCTCTGTAGGCTACACAACGTTGGAGAAAGTAAAAATGTCCTGGATGACCCACAGCATGGAAGAGAAGATGAAGATGGCCTTTTCACACTATAACGTGCCACTTTTTTTTAGAATGGAGGACAGGGGCAGGATGTGGGAATTGTCACAATAAGTTTTAGAATGTTTGTTTGTTTGCTTTTAAAGCCCCGTCTATTCCGTTGGTGTCATTGAGCCAGTCTTGCTTTAGTTTCACAAGTGGAAGGTCCTTGAGAGACCACACCTTCTCTGCCCAGCGCTTTATCTCCTTCCCAGCATCACTGCCAAGTGATCTTGCACACTATGCTTGAACATTTTCAGTGATGATGAGCTCACTGCCACACCCAGGGGAGCCCATGCAATCGCAGGGCAGTTCTGAGACTTAGAAATAAGTAAAGCGAAGTCTCTCTCTAGACAGCATCCGCCTGTCAGTCCTCATGGAACTCATGGTGCTCACACAGAACATGTCTAATCTCTCCTTTACCTGGTAGTGCTCCAGGTACACCAGACCCTATGTCCCTGGAAATTACCTTGTTTCTGGGACATGATTTCTGGCCCCTCCCCTTCCCGTAGTTGCCTTCGCTGTGGATGCATTTGTATCTCTCCTTCTGTGCCCAACTGTCAGAGTTGCGTGCCCCACTCCAGGGATGGTGTGAGCAGCCCTGGGTCTATGCTTCATCAATAATGCAGGAACTGACGTCATCTCCAAAACTCCTTGGTTTTCTATTATTTTCTGTTTACATTTGAGTGTCGTTAGGGGTGACCATGGTGTCACATCTTAATTCTTGCTTGGGGAATTTAATTTGGGGAACAATCAAGAGTCCATCAGAGCAAAATGCAGTGAGTGACGTGGCCATTCAACGAGGGCCAACGGGTGATCTGACTGTAAGGCAACCCAGATTAAACACAGTTTGTGGAAATGTGCTCCTCAGTAGGAACAGATTTATTTTAAAACTTCCATAACTGCGGCACGAAGGACCCAGGGAGAGAGATGAAAGCAAACGGCTGTTGAATGAATGAATGAATGGAAAGAATGTGTATCTGAATGAGGGAGGCCTCTGGTGGGGCAGAAATATGGGAAGTCACCAGACCTGGAAGGAATTTCCCTGACATACTTCCTGGTATGTTTAGGGCAATCGCAGCAATAATGCAATAAGCACACAGTCTTCCAAGGAAGCCACCTTTCCTATGTCTACTCTTTTGACATTACTTTTAAGAGAGGAAAAAAAATCAGTCTCAAATTCTTCACTGGTACAGCCTGTACATTCCTCGCACGGGTCCAGCAGCCCCCTTGGGCCAGGCATATCGTTCTTGCTTTCAGAGCTGAGAAAACAGAAGCAGAGATAGATGAAGGCACTTGCCTGAGGTCACCTAAGTCCAGCCCCCAGGGACAGAACTGAGCCTTTGCAGGCAGGAAGGACCCCACACACTGAGGGCTCGGGCTCGAAGGAAAGACTTAATGCCTGCAGAGGGTGGCATTGATCTGCTTGGTCCCAAATTGATGTTCCTTTACTCAGATCCTGGGCAGCCTGAGCGTTTTGACGGTTCTCCAATTCCCTACCCCTTTATAGTTCAATCTTCCCTGGCCAGCAAATTATTTACTCAGAATCTTATTTGCATTTGCAGAGGAAGCAGCAAGTGGAGAACCTGGCAGGAGCCTTAATGAAGCCAGGTGGGACACATTGAAACAGGAACGTGTTGAACTAACTCACCGAGAGCTGAGGCCAGCTGTCAGCGGGCTTAATGAAAGGTTAACAGGAACATGGCAATGAGTGGCTAGGGAGGCTCTCTGTCTCTCTAAAGAAAACAAAAAGTTGAGAAGTGGGCTCCCCAGGTGGAGGCAAGAGCAGAAGGAGGAAGCCGCTGAATCTGAAATAGAGTTTCATTTAGATTTGTGAACAAGTTACAGTCGAAAGAAAGAAAGAAAGAAAGAAAGAAAGAAAGAAAGAAAGAAAGAAAGAAAGAAAGAAAGAAAGAAAGAGAGAAAGAAAGAAAGAAAGAAAATGAACGAGCACTGTGGGTTCTCAGCTCTCTGAGATTCAAAGGACCAGGAGGGGACCTGTTCTGGAATGAGATGAATGCTAATGCTGTTAGGAAGGTGCTTGGGGAGACTGGAGCCGGCTGCTCACACAACAAGGTGGTTTCACTTTCTGTGCTGAAAAGGTGGTGTTTTGCCATCCTGGGCTTTATCCGTGTTGCATATGGAGTCGGGGGGACCGGGGAGCAGGAAAGACATCTTTCATTTTGTTTAGCTGGTGAAACTGAGGGCCAAACAAGGGGAATGAGTTACCCTCAGTGACAAGGAAACAGTGCCAGAGCAGAGGGCTTGTCCAGGTACCCTAGGGCAGCCGTGGGCAAACTACGGCCCGCGGGCCGGATCCGGCCCGTTTGAAATGAATAAAACTAAAAAAAAAAAAGACCGTACCCTTTTATGTAATGATGTTTACTTTGAATTTATATTAGTTCACACAAACACTCCATCCATGCTTTTGTTCCGGCCCTCCGGTCCAGTTTAAGAACCCATTGTGGCCCTCGAGTCAAAAAGTTTGCCCACCCCTGCTAGGGCCTAGGCTTAGCTCTGCAGCCGGGTGATAGGCTTGTTCTTGGATTTTCCTATGTCCACCTGGCTATGCCCGATTATTTGCCCTTCCAAGGTCATATCCAGTAGGTTCCTGTTGGTACATGCAACTCAGCATTTCTTTTCCTTGAACCATCTTTGCCAGCACATACTTGACCCCATGGTGGACTGCCACTCCCAGAAAGAGGAATTAGAATGAGGAAGTTCAAAGCTTGGCTCTTCTGTTGCTTTTTAAAAAACACCACCCTAATTAGGGTGACCACTTGTCCTAGTTTGAAACCTCCAAGTTCCTCTTACATGCTGGGAACTCCCTCAGTCCTGGGTCAGCTGGGATGGTTGGTCAATGTAAGTCCACGACTAAACTAGATCAAAAGCAGCAACCTTCAGGTTCTTTGATTCACAGCCCCTGCTCTGAACTCTATCGCAATGATCATTGTGTACATGTGCGTGGCTTTGAGTTGGACTCAAGTAGAGTTTAATTCATACAGATCCACCATTAGAATAGATTGCTACATCTAGATTCTAGATCTTGGCTATTCAAAATGTGGGCTCAGACCAGCAGTATTATCATCAAGAAGGAACTTGTTAGAAAATCACATCAGTCCCTACCCTAGACCTTCAGAATCTGCATTTCAACAAGGTCTCTCTGTGATTCACATGCACATTACAGATTGGGAAGTAAAGCACTGATTTTCAAACTTGGCTGCACATTGGAGTCATGTGGGCAACTTGAAAACTACTCATGCTTAATTCCCCTCTGAGGTCCTGATTTAGTTGGCATGGGGGAGAACTGGGTATCAGGCATTTCTTTTTCTTTTTTTAATATATTTTATTGATTTTTTACAGAGAGGAAGGGAGAGGGATAGAGAGTTAGAAACATCGATGAGAGAGAAACATCGATCAGCTGCCTCCTGCACACCCCCAACTGGGGATGTGCCCGCAACCAAGGTACATGCCCTTGACTGGAATCGAACCTGGGACCTTTCAGTCCGCAGGCCGACGCTCTATCCATTGAGCCAAACCAGTTAGGGCACAGGCATTTCTTTATAGCACCTCAGGTAGTTCTAATATGCTGCAATGTTTGTAAACCACTTCTTAAGGGAGGGTAGCTTTGCGCCAGAAAGTAATGTTACTATTAATCAGGATAACTCTTGACCTAAGATACAAGTTTATGTGTGGGTCTAGTACCCCTGCATGATTTTGCTCAAAGAAATGATCAATAAAATTGCTCAAGAAGATCTGAGGACACTAGATAATGACCTAAATGTCCCCATTCCTATGGATGAGGCCCATTAAAGCAATTAAGACCAAGATATAATGCAGGCATACCTTGTTTTATTGCCCTTCACTTTATTGCACCTCACTGATGTGTTTTTTACAAGTTGAAGGCAAGACCCTCCACCAGCAAAAAGATTGGGACTCAATTTATTTCGACACTCACTTTAGAGCAGTGGTCAGGAACCGAACCAGCAATATCTCCAAGGTATGCCTGCATTTGGTCTGTAGAAAGTGATAATGAGAAAACAGAACAGATAAACAGATAAGGAACGTCTGGGGGTCAAGGTGGCACTCTTCGTCTGTTCAGAAACCTCAAAGGGGTAATGAGATGACACTGAGATTTTAAGAGAAGCACGGAGGGTTTCCATGTTAAAGTAGAAATATGATAAGTGATATTTAAAGTGGAAATATGAAAATGATAAAGTGGACAGCTTTTTTGCAGAACAAGGAACTCGGTAATAAGGCAACTACCTGCTCTCTTGTACCCAAATATAATGAAAGACCCTCCTCTGGGCACAATCGTTCATTGTCTCAGTAAGATTGTATTCAGCTGCAAGTTAAAAGAACGCTAAAAAGTAGGGGTTAATTAGAGAATTATTTCTCATAATTAGACACCTGGACTTAGGCAGTTTCAGAGTTGGCCAACAGCTTCACTAAGGTAGATATGACAGTCTCTGACTTTCTTGGGCCTTCCTCATGGTTGCAAGATGGCTGCCACAGCTCTACTATGCCCTCTGCACAAGCATCCCACATAGGAAGGAAGTGGGCTTAGGTCAGCAGTATTTTCCCCTTTTATGACTCTAATACCATATCAAAATGGAAGATCATTCATGGAAGTTACTAGAAGAGTTACCTATATATTTCATTGGCCATAGATTTCACTGGGTCACATGCCCACCCTTGGGCAAAGGTAAATGAGATTTCTAGGACTAATTTCTAGGACCGATTGTTACTCAGCACCCAGGCTGTGTACATTGCCATTCAGCCAAAATTTAGCATCCGTCAGCCTGGGAGGAACTGGGAGTGGATGTTGGGTAGACAACATTGATTTCTGCCACATTCACTCGTCCCACAAAAGCTTATTGTCTGCCACATTCCTGAGAGCCCTGCTGGGTGCTGAGGTATAGCCACAAACAAGACAGATCCGGTCCTGGTTCCCAGGCAGCTCACAGACTACAAAGCCATTTCCCTCTTTATTATGCCTTTCATGATTCCAAATATTTGTACCTGAGAAGCAAAAAGAATGAAGGGATGAAAAGGATAAATGTTTAGAAATTCTGCACACACACCTCCTTGAAGCTGGGAAACCATCCCTTTGATGCGTGTTGGGAGTCAATGGAAGAATGAGACAGAAACATTTGGCCCTGGGAGGCGAAGGCAAATGATAACAAACACTGTCAGCTGCCATGAAGCTTTCAAAGGGTGGCAAAGGCGGTCAGCTTGGTGAAAGTTCAATGTTAGAGGAATGGGAGCAGCCACTTCTACATTTCTATGCCGTTTCATACTTTTCTAAGCAGTTTCAAACACGTAGTACTCTGTGTCTGAGGAAAGGCCCATCTCCATTTTATAGAGGAGAAAAGTGGAAACAAAGAGATTCTATAATTCCATAAGGTAAAGTGACTCTGGGTTCCCAGCATAGTGAGTGAGGCAGATTGCAATTAAGAGTCCTGATTCCTCCCATGGATCAATGTCATTTTTATGGGGTGCCGGCCATGTGTGCCTAGCTTTGCACTTGGACCTAGTAACAGGGCTAGTAGTCATTACTAATACAATTTGAGTACTTCCTGTGTGCCAAGTACTACCCTCAGCACTTTACCTGTATTATTTCACTTAATCATAACAGTCTCTCTATGAGGGAGTTGCCAGTATGATCCGTATTTGACAGACGAGGAAGTGCAAGCGTTGATAGTAGCTAGTCCGCAGTGGAGCTGGTATTCCAACTCCTGAGCAGCTTCCAACCCTCGGGCCTTATCCCTGAGCTGTGGCCCCTCCGGGTGTTTAAGTACCTGTGTGATCTCTTAATGATCATACTCCTGTGTAGGTGGAAAGGACTACTCAATTGGGAGT